ACCTGGATTTCCTTTTAAAGTACAGCCTATAGGCACTTTTACATCATGTCTTTTAGGCGCAATGCAGAATAATACCTATGATATTGATGTTGGAATTACTTCCTTTGGAAATTGCTCAACAGTAAAAAATTATTCCTCACCCACCCCATCTCTTTGTCCCCCCAATGGCACAGTTTTTATGTGTGGAGGAAACCCAGCCTTCCCCAGGCTTCCAGCGAATTGGACCGGTGGCTGTGTTCTTGCCTTATTACTCCCTGATATAACTATTGTCCCAGGAGATGAACCTCTACCCATTCCTAGCCTAGACACCTTAGTCAAAAGACACAGGCGGGCAATACAGGCCTTACCACTCCTTGCCAGCCTTGGAATAACAGCTGCTGTGGGCACAGGTACAGCTGGCTTAGGCACAGCTATACACTCTTACTGTCGCCTATCTCAACAACTTATAGATGATGTACAAACTCTATCAGGAACTATTAAAGATTTACAGGGCCAAATAGACTCCCTGGCAGAAGTGGTCCTTCAAAACAGACGAGGCTTAGATTTGCTGACAGCTAACCAGGGAGGTATTTGCTTGGCCTTAGGGGAAAGATGCTGCTTTTATGCCAATAAATCAGGCATAGTACGCACTAAAATTAAGCAGCTTCAAGAAGATCTAGAAAAGAGAAGAAGGGAACTATTTGAAAATCCCCTCTGGACTGGGCTTAATGGATTTTTACCCTACCTTCTTCCCTTATTAGGCCCTTTGTTGGGTTTGCTTTTAATGATGTCCACAGGACCCTGCATTATAAACAGGCTGGTACAATTTATTAAAGAACAGATTAATATTTTGGCCTCTAAGCCCATACAGGTCCACTATCATCGTCTGGAGATGGAAGACCGCGCTACCAACATTTGAAAGGATGTTCTACCCTTCTTTCAGGCTTATTTCTTAAGTTTACATCCCCACAGATCTCTCTTTCTTATATAAAAGTATAAGTAACAGCTCTGACCAACCATCTTCTGCCCTTGCCATAAGGGTTCGCTCTTCCATGGGCCCCTCCGCTTGGGGGAGGACTCACCCATGGAGTGAGGACGTTAGGCCATAATGACAGAGGGTGCAGGAAGGACTGCAGGAGGATGGATCCACGGATCCCAAAACCCAAGACCTCTGAGTGACACGCTCTGGTGCATGGCGGTTGGCATGCTCCCCCCTCAAAGCCGTCTCCTCCAAAAACATGCCAAGGCCACCACGAAATCTCCTAGTGAAGATGCTCGCTCAGATCAGGAGATATTCTAAGGCCTTCTAGAGGAACAGAGCCTCTATCACCCCCTAAAAACATGGCCGGTAAGGTATGGTCAAATATTTTATATAAGAAAGTGGGAGATGTCAGGGACTAGAAGGAAATTCTCCTTCAAAGATTAGCCTGACAGCCCCCTGGGAGACATCCTGCCTGGGAGGCATCCTGCAGCTACTTATCTCACCTGAGACATCCTGAGGCCACCTATCTTCCTGAAACCTATCTTCCTGAAACATCCTGCGGTTATCTCACCTTGTGCAGACATCCAGCAACTGCCGATAAGAGAGCTTCCCCATTCCCACCATATAAATACCCCTGTGTGAACAATAAAAGTTTGCAGCTTGATCAGAACTTTTGTCTTGCTGTCATCCTTTCGTGTCTCTTGTCCCTTCATTCCTCCCCATCTAGGTTCGCTGCCCACGTTGATGTGTCCTGCCGGACGGGACACTGTGTCACACCCTTCTACCATGAGGTCCTGCTTTACCTTGAACCCAGAGCAATGAAATCACTCAACCATGGACTGAACCTCTGAAACCACAAGCTGAAATAAACTTTTCTTCTTCTAAGTTGTCCTTGTCAGGTATTTTGGTCTGAGCAACAAAAAGTTAACATATCAAATTATCACTGTTTACAGATGAAATGATTGTAGACTTTTGTCACAAGAAATTCTACCAGAAGACTTTTACAGCTGCTAAACAAACTCAACAAAGTAGCAGGATACAAAATAACATCTTTCTTATACTCCAATAATGAATCTGCTGAGAAAGAAATCAGGAAAACAATTCCATTCACAATAGCCTCAAAAAATACTTCAGAATAATTCTAACAAGAAGGCTAAATACCTCTACAATGAATATTATAGAACATGGAAGAAAGAAATTGAAGATGTGAGGATACTGAAAAATCTCTCATGCTCTTGGATAGGCAGAATTAATATTATTAAAATGGACCTATTACCAAAAGTGATATATAGATTCAGTCCAATCCCCATCAAGATACTAATGGCATTCTTCAACAGAACTAGGAAAAATAGTCTTTAAATTCATATGCAGGCTCAGCAGTAGAGCACTTGCCTAGCAAATGTGAGGCCCTGGGTTCAATCCTCAGAACCACATGAAAATAAATAAATAAATAAATAAAGGTATTGTGTCTGTCTGCAATTAAAATATATTTAAAAAATAAATTCATATGGAAGCTGGTTGCAGTGGTGCATGCCTATAATCCTAGTGGCTCAGGAGGCTGAGGCAGGAGAATTGCAAGTTCAAAGCCAGCCTCAGCAGCTTAGCAAGGCCCGAAGCAACTTTGAGATGCTGTCTCAAAATAAAAAGAGCTGTGGATGTAGCACTGTGGTTAAGCACCCTTGGGTTCAATCCCTGGTACCAAAAACAAAAACAAAAAAATCATATGGAAGAATAAAAGTCCCAGAATGGTCAAAGTAATTCTGAGCAGTATGATCAATGCTTCAGGCAACATATTTCCCAGCTTGAAATTATACTAGAGAGCTATAAGTATTGAAAATTGCATGGTACTGGAATAAAAACATGCATGTAGATCAATGGAATAGAATAGAAGTTTCAGAGACAAACCCACACAGATGAAGTTATCTGATCCTGACAAAGAAGCCAAAAACATACAGTAGAGAAAAAAAAAAAAAAAAAAACAGCTTTCTTAGCAAATGCTGGGAAAGCCAGATATGTATATATGGAAAAATGATATTAGATCCATACCTGTCACCCTGCATAAAAGTCAACTCAAAGTGATTCAAAGACAGGAATTGGATCAAAAACCCTGCAAATGTTAGAAGAAAACACAGGGTCAATACTCCAAGATATGGGTGCAGGCACTGACTTCCTCAGTAAGACTCCTAAAGCTTAGAAAATAAAACCACTTAGAATGGCAATCATCAAGAATACAAATAACAAGCTGGGCATGGTGGCACATGCCTGTAACCCAAGGGGCTGAGATTAGGGGGATCACAAGTTCAAAGCTAGCCACAGCAACTTAATAAGGTCCTTAGCAACTGAGACTCTGTCTCAAAATAAAATATAATAAAAAGGGCTGAGAAGGGCTGGGGTTGTGGCTCAGTGGTAGAGTGCTTGCCTTACATGTGTGAGGCAATGACTGGTTTTCAATTCTTGGCACCACATAAAAATAAATAAAGATATTGTGTCCATCTACAACTAAAAATATTTTTTAAAAAAAGAGCTGAGGATATGGCTCAGTGCTTAAGTACCCCTGGGTTCAATTGAAGGAAGAGGAGGAGGAGGAGAAAGAGGAGAAGAGGAAGAAGAGGAAGAGAAAGAATAGGAGGAGGAAAAGGAGGAAGAGAAGAAGGAGGAAGAGGAGGAGGAAGAAGAAAAATAATAATTGCAGGTTAGAATGTGGAGGAAAAGGTACACTAGTACACTTACATTAATGGTAGGGCTGCAAACTATTATAACCACTCTGGAAAGCTATATAGAAATTCATCAGTAGACTAGGAATGAAACTACCATCTGATCCAGCTACTCCACTCCTGGGTATTTATCCAAAAGAACTAAAATCAGCATAATATAGTGATATATGCATACCAGTGTTCACAGCAGCAGAATTCATAATAATCAAGATATGGAATTATCCTAGGTGCCTGTCAACAGATGAATGAATAAAGAAAATGTGGTGTATATACACCATGGAATATTACTCAGCTATATAAAAATAATGAAATTGTGTCATTTGCAGGAAAATGGATGGAACTGGAGAACATTATGGTAAGAGAAATAAGCTATACTCAGAAATTAAAGGGTCATATGCTTTCTTTCATATGGAGAAGATAGGGAAAAAAACAAAGGGGAAAAGAGGGATATCATGAAAATAGAATGGATACCAATAGAGAAGAAGAAGGGGACCCAGGGTAGGGAGGAGGATAGGGAAAGAAAAAGTACTAGGGAATGAAATTGAGCAAATTATGTTATGTGCATGTGTGAATATAATACAATGAATCACAGTGTTGTGTATAATTATAATGTACCAATAATTCATTTTAATTTCATAGTTCATACAGAAGTTCTCTCTAGAGTTCCCTACATTTCCAAATTGCAGAATGGGCACAATTGTTGTTAAAGTGTCCATTAATAGCCAGAGGTACTAAAAGCATCTTCAAAACCTCACACTCTCAATAGACCCCAAGGTGAAGAGAACAGAAGAGACAATAGGGCAAAAGGGAGACATTGTAACTCTTGAATTGTGGGGTTAATCAAAAGATAGAGTTGTCAGGTCTATGGAAATACCCTACAGAGGAGAGTTTCCAGGGGCTACAACACACCAGGAAGATTTGGAGGCAGGTGTTCTAGTAAAAGGAAGCATGTACTATTTGTATTTTACAGCCTAGACTCTGACATCCAGGGGATCACAAACCAACCTATTGGATTCAACCATGACACCCACATCCCTGGTGAAAGAAATTGCTAGCATCTTCCCTTCCCCATAATACAGGCCTGAACCCTACGTTCTTCTGAATAGTGTGGCTTTAAAATAGTATGATTAGCTGAATATTGCAGAAATAAAAAAAAACAGCTTCAAATTGATTTGTTTCCAATCTAGAAAAGTTGTGACATGGTTTTACAATCAAGTAATTGTTTTATGTTTGCAGAGATTTCTGAGGGATGTGTTTTCTTTATAATAAACTCACAAGAGTATATATACTGGGATAAGTAAAAGAATGTGAAAATATAGGATTACCATTTGGATGTAGTTTTCTTCCTCCTCTCTGGAAACAGGACTGGCAAAAAATCTTGTAGGATTAATACCATTTCTTTCTGGAGAGAGAAAGCTGGTTCGATTGCTAAGAAGAAAAATACAGATGAGGTCAAAGCAATGTCTTACAGCTGCTCTGAAAGGCAGCCAGGAACTGACATGGCCCCATGGGGCTTCAGTCTTCCCCTTCCAGACACAATTTCCTTCCGGCCCAAGCAGTTCCTAAAGAAACAGAGACTGTGCAGCAGCTCTGTCCCACTTGTGGAGCAAATGGCTCCCACTTCCTTTTTCCCAGGCCCTCCATATGACATAGGTCATGAACTTACTAGAAACAGACCAAGGCATCATATCATTTAGCAAAAAATACTTCTCTGTGACCCTTTTGTTTCCAAAGAAACTAGGAAAAGTAAGAAAGTGTTGCCATTCCTTTTTGATAGGATAACAAGAACTGTAAATCACCTTCAATTCTACTCCTGAGTCAGAAGCACAAGCTGTCTCTGAAGTTTTGCCTGGAAATACACCTCCCTGTGCAATTCTGATTCACAAAGTGATTGTCTTATGGCATTTAGAGTGAACTAGGAAACCCTAGGGCTAGCCTCAGGACTCTGAAAATTCAACTCATAAAAGGTACAGATACATTTTTGAGCTTGTCTATCCAACCTGTGAACCACTCACAAAGGTGAACTTCTGGAAGTTCAGCTGGTAGTACTGGCTCTGCCCCCTGGGCCATAACTGATTCCACTTTGGCTGGGCAACATAATTCTGTCCTCTCACAAAATCTGACTTGATATTGATAAAGAGCTCATCTCTGTTAGCACTGGAATTGAGGCATATAAATAAGCTCAGGAGCTATAGTACCACTATCTTTAGCCATAGAAATTATGCAACAAAGAAAATAGCTCTACAAAGACAAAGAGATAAGCAGATATGAATGGAGAGGTAAATGTGAGAGAAGAGAGAAGATGCCTTGAGTTCTCGATAGCACTCCAATTCCTGATTCCAGTATCCCAAGAAACTCAGTCATATTCCTTCCTTTGTGATATGTAAGTCATCTTTAGCTCTTGATAATAAACCAGGTTGTCCTTTAGCTTAGGCAAGATCAAATGGGCTTCAACAATAAGAAACCTAATTAAGTTTGGATATGTCTAGGCTCCTTTAACAATCAGTGGTTTACCAAGGCACCGTGTGGGTCCTGGTTAAAGATGTATGTTCCCGGATGGTGGAGAGGTTTCTCAGGTCCAGGGGAGGTGGCCGTGCTACAAGACAATACACAGTATGGTTAGTTCTTAGAAATTCAAAGCCATAATCCAAAGAGTGTAAAACCATGACATTTTCTTTTCCTGGCACAGCAGATCCAAACTTGCCAAGAGAAAGCACTGATAGTGATTGTGAATTTCACTATCTTACTCTTCTCTGACTCCATGTGAGTAAGGACTGCTACCTAGCAAATGGTCTGGGCTGGAAAGTTCACATGAGTCATGAAGTCCCTGTGGGGAAGGTCTCTCCTGGAAGCATGACATCTAGGTGTTGGGTTCACCCACCAGCTATCTCCTGGCTTCACCACTTGCCCTTTCCCACCGGGGTGCAAAGTTCATCCCAGAACCAACCCCTCCTGGCCCAGCTGTCTATCTTTGCACCTACCTGCTAAATATCCAATCCTAAGCCTATCAAACATCTTCTTTCTGTCATTCTCTATATGACTGCACTGCTGAAAATAGTGACCAGCAGCCATGCATGGTTATTTACACCACAATATATATAAATTTATTGAAATTTAATAAAAATAAAATTAAGTTCCTCTGCCTCGCCATTCTCATTGCAAATGTTCAATAGCAATGTTTGCATTATCACAGATAGTTCTGGTCAATGGCACTGCTATAGAAAATTAATTGAGCAAAACAATAATACATACTTTCAAGTTACAAGTCCCTGTGAAATTGTTTCTGGCCAGAATGGACAGGCTATTTCCTCTGCACCTCATAAGACAGGGTCTGTTCTCCTATTTAGTACTGACTTCATAATTCTGCCTTTCCCTCTAGATGGTTTTTACATATCTGCCTCTCATCTTTGCATCCTCCCCAGGCACAGTGCTGTACCCATGGCCAATGTTGTGAAAAGTGCAAATGTGGTCTGACTCAGACTCAAGTGTATCTGACTGGAACAGAGAAGGCATGAGTAGGAACCTTAGTTAGCAGCTTTGGGCATGGCCACCTGAAGTGACAGTTTTACTCAAAAGCAATTAAAGGTATGAGCAGACCAGATAGAATATCAGACCTCAGAGTCATTGCACCAAATGATTTCTTAAAATCACATAATCTACTGGGAAGGTGAGGGTGGGTAAAACTGAAATTACTTCACCCTGCCTTTTCTCTTTCTATCTTCAATTTTTCTGTCTGTCCATGCTGGTGAGCATACCAGAGAGGCTGCTATATTCATACAGGAGCTACAAGGTGCCCTGTGCACACAGGAGTCAGACTGATAATTATAGAAGTTCTCTCCCATCCCCAATCACCTGTGCTGATGGGCATACACAGAGCAGTGAGTGATAAATAATATTTGACCATGAAGGATATTAAGGAATTGGTGTCAAAGGTCATTCTTGGCTGCCTTCCATAAGGCTGGCACTGTTATTACATTTAGTGTTGCATGAATGAGGAGATGTCAGGTGGGTTCCATTCAGACCCATCATCACATATCCCTGGGACTTTATTAGGGAAACAGACAAAGATGAGCTCTCTGGAATGAACTTAGCTTTGTAGGATGCATTTGCTGGTCCACAGTACCTACAATTTCTCTGATTCCTTTATCATGACAATCTGCAGCAGCAGGTGCCCTCAATCTCCCCATTCTATTCCAGCCATTTTTTTCATATCCTTATGTTTTGCAGCTCTCTGACATGGTTTTTCTAGTGCTTCCTTCCCAAGAAAAGTTAGGAAGGACCTTGCTCCCCTTTTTTACACAGCAGGCCTATTTAAGTGCCTTACGTTTCCTCTGAGGTTTGAGATCTCTATTCACTGGTGGAGGCTCTAAGTCTGCAGGTAGCTCAGGCAGTGGGCTTGAGATGCTTCCTGAGCTCATAGGGATGTAGTCATCCTGGCTGCAATGGGGTCCAAGACCAGAGGCAATGACCTGGGGGCTCATGGGCACATAGCTGTCTTCGGCACTGGTTGAAGCTGGGGGATACATCAGGGAGAACCTGCAGGGCTGCAAGAAAACAGGTCATGGAAACCACCACCAGTGGACATCAAGGCTATGCATATGGTTTTAGTTTCAGATTACCCAAGAATGACTCTGAACTTCCTCAGGAAAGTTAGAAAAGCCTCTACCCAAGGATCTGCCTCTGGACCTAATGTGTGAGTACTGGTGATAATCTCCTAGATCTGATGGTGGAAGACTGAGAGTTATGAATTCATACAAATATTTTTGGTATGATATTTTAATTAAAAACATCAGAGCCCTTATGGAACACAGAGTTCAGAAGTTCCCAAACCAGTTCAAGTCTTAAAGAGAGACTAGAAAGGTTCTCAGAGATTCAGATTGCTGAATATCAAAAGAATTGAAAGGAACATATATTGGGCTGGGGATATAGCTCAGTTGGTAGAGAGTTTCCCTCACATGCACAAGGCCCTGGGGTCAATCCCTAGCACCACAAAAAAAGAAAAAGGAAAAAAAGGATCATATATGAGTCAGGCTACTTTTGATTAAATTGAGTCTTGAAGGAACCCAAGTGTCAAACTTACCAGATTTAAACTAAGCCGCTTGTCTCGGTGTCTTAAGGATTGGCATTCTACCTCAGCTGCAAGAAACAAGTCAGACTGGTGAGAACTGCAGGAAAACATCAATTGAAATTAGAATCTAAGTCCCTGTACACTCCAGGGACCTGTACTCAGCATCAGAGAGGTAGAACAATAAGCTTTACACGTTCCCCTGCTTTTACTCATCCCTGTTGTTTTGGTGTTTGTTTCATGGTCAAAATCCTATTTTAATTAGTTTTAATCTTTGTTTGCTGTCATGTAAAAGAACACAACCTAGCTATTTGTGTTCATACTGACATATCAAATTACTTCATTTTATTCTTAAATCTCAGACTATTGGTTCATTTTCATACTCCATTATTCTACTGACTTTATTCATTTCACATTATAACATATGCTTACCTATTCTTTCATTTTTACTTTTGTCACTGTTCACACATTAGCACATTAAGACCTGTTGTGTGATTGGCATATATCCATTTAACAGGCATTGTCAGAAGGAAGTGAAGTGTATAATGATCACATCTCTAGGAACCCTGAAGGAGGTCTGTGTCAGAGTGACTTCCTCAGTCAGAATGAGAGATTTCAAAATGAATTTGCATTCTTTGTACTCTCTGTAATTCCTTTAAAACATAGCCTTGGTAGATAGTGTGGTGTGTGGGTGATTACATTTGGATAAATGGAGAGAAACAGTGAGAGTTTTTGTTGTCTGTCTGAGAGATGGGCTGACATGAAGGAAAGGCTTAGGTTGGTCAGTTCATGCAGGAAAATGAAGAAATCCAGAGAAGCTAGTAAAGAAGAGGTACCAAAAAGCCACACTGAGGATGCTGTGTGGACTTGCATTGAGCACCTTCTGAAGGCTACAGAGACCCCAAGTGTGTCCCCAAGTGACCCAAACAAACATCAGAAGCTCAGTCTCAGGTGGAAGGCCTACTACATGGTCAAGGACTCACATAGGCAAGCCAATCTCAAGGGACCAGGGCTCCAGCTTTTTTTTATCTTTTATGACAATCTAAATCTCTCTGGAAGCCAAATTCAAAGGAGGGGGTCGGGGACCCAGAATCAGGACAGTGCTGCCCTCCAGCTGTGCACTTCCTCCAAGGTCTCCATTAGGAGATAAGACTGGTTTGAGCAAGGAAAGTGGGAAAAGTCCTCATATGGACACAAGGTGTGACAAGGATCCAGGCAGGGAAGTCCAAATTTTTCTCTGTACCTGAATCTTAGGATCTGACTCTTACCTTTCCAGGTTCTCATGTGGTCTAAACCAGAAAGAGAGATTCTTCTTGGCACAAGAGTGCATTCTGGTTTCTTGCTGGTGCTGTGCCCACTCCACAGGTGCTGCTCCTCTTGGCGCCGTTCAGAGAAATGGCTTGGTTTAGGAGGGCGGGGAGGTGGAGTGTTGGATACATCTAGTTGTTTTGCTGCGCAGGGCAAGGAAAGTTGACTTTTTTCTACCTGAATGGTGGAATTTAAGGATGTTTCCAGCAATGAGGAAGAAGACAAGTGGTCCCTGGAAGGCCCATTGATTTCTCTATTCCAGATCATAATAGCCTGGGACCTCATGGAAGATGCCTCCTGAGATCCATTCCCATGGCGTGAGAAATGGACCGAGTTACTGGAGGGTAGTGGCTGCAGGCCATCAACAAAAACATCATCAAATGAAGTCTGTTCCAGTGAGCGGTCTGAGTTTGACCAGCTATCACATCTGGTGGGAAGACTGAGGGAAGAAAAACATGTTAAGTTTGACTGAAATGTAGCCAACCACCCACCACAAAACCCATGCTAGCCTCATTCCCACTCCTCCAATACCAGCTTTTGTTCTACTTGTAGAGCTACATTCCCTCTAAAATGCTCAGGTTTTTTGCAGCAACCCTTTGATGCAAAAAAAAAAAAAGTTTATTATTTTTTTTTCATCCTGTAAGCATCAGATACATATGAAAATGTAAGGTTAGAAATGAAAGCCACAATGCTGAAATGTATGAGTCATTTTGTTTAGTATCTGGCATGCTTCATCTTTCATAGTGGCTGATAGTGATCTGTCCATACCTTAGCACTGGCAAGAAGAGAGGTGAGAGCAGACACACCCACTAGGAAACACTCCCACTAAACAGACTGATTTGAAGGCACATTGAGTATATCTCAGAGACAGATTCTGCAGGAGAAGGCAGTGTGGGCTCTGTGAACAGAGGACAGCATGCTAGGAGATAGGGCTCAGAGGCCCAGGTGTAAGCATACCTGGCATGGTGCAGTCTTCCAGTCTCACAGTTGGACAGAACCAGATAATCAGGAAGGAAGAGAAACTCTGACTCACTTCTGGTTTCCTCAGTGGCTATGGTATTAGTGTTTGGGTCATCTCTTGGCAAGGAGGAGCTGGCAGCATGGACAGTATGAAGGGAGTTGGCAGAGGATGGTTGGAGGGAGGAGGGCATGTAAGAGAGGCTCTCCATGGAATCTGCTGGATTAAATCATTTCCCAGGTTAGTGTTTTAAGAATGGCTATAACATTCACTTGAAATTTCTCAAACAGCATCTAAGAAGCCAAATAGAAGATGCAAATCACAGCTGGTGTTTGTACTGATGGAAGAGACCATTTCCCTAAGCTATAAACAATGTCTGGGAAAGAAGGCCAATGTTCCAAGAATAAAGTGTTGAATCCATTAAGAGTAAAAAAAAACAAAAAACCAAGTATTCTTGGCCTAAAATTCTGCAGATAGTCTACAAACTGCTTTTTTATGGCCCTACACAGCAGCCCTGTATCACTGTTTATCTACCCAACAAATATACATATATATGTATTTATGCATAACAAATCTATATGTATATACTTACATATGCACTTATGCATGTATGTACTTATGTCTATCTATCTATAATCCCTGCTATTGCACATACTACGTGACCAGAATTGTTCTAACCCTCATCAAGCAGCTGAGACAAAGGCTCTGCCCTTACTGGAGTTCACATTCTAGCAGAGGAGACAGACAAATAACATTTACATTAAGAATCATGCTAATAATTGTTAGATGTAAAGGGAAGTGACAAAACACGTTGTTGTGATAACTGCAAAAGCCTGTGTTACTCAAGGAGTCTAACATTCACCCATCACTTAAGAATATGGCCCTCAAGATGAATTTGGATCAGGAGCCAATAAGACCTTCAGATCAGAAAGACCAATGAAAGCCTACATTTATTTTTCCTTTGAGCCAAGTTGGTAGTGCAGGATTCCTGAGTCAGAGTGACCCTGAACTGCCTCTAAGCTGTACTACCTGGCCATTGGGACCTTGAGCATGTTACAATTTGCCTTCTTCAAGTTTCTTTCTCTGTAGAGTGGACATGATAACACATATGCCATAGAACCAGTAAGGGGATAAGATAACTTAATATGCAAAAACATTTTAACAGAGCTACTAGCCAGGACACACACAGTGTGTTGACTATTCTATAGTTGCTTAAGACAAAACCAAATTCTATGTAGTCATTCCTCCTTATTTGCTGTTTCACTTTCTGCAGTTTTTTTTTAAAGAGAGAGAGAGAGAGAGAGAGAGAGAGAGAGAGAGAGAGAGAATTTTTTAATATTTATTTTTTAGTTATCGGCGGACACAACATCTTTGTTTGTATGTGGTGCTGAGGATCGAACCTGGGCCGCACGCATGCCAGGCGAGCGCACTACCACTTGAGCCGCATCCCCAGCCCTCACTTTCTGCAGTTTCAGTTACCTGCAGTCAACCTTGGTCTGAAAATATTAAATGGAAAGTTCCAGAAATAAAAAATTCATAAGTTTTCAATTGTGGGATATTCTGAATAGTATAATAAAATATCATATCATTCTGTGCTCCTGGAACATGAATCTGTACTAGTTTTGCTGTTGCACCTCAAACTGCAAAAGTTATGGTCATGATCATAGTATATAAGTGCTTAGTTAAGATGGAAAAGGCGGGGCCAGGGTTGTGGCTCAGTGGTAGAACACTCACCTACCATGTGTGAGACACTGGGTTCGATCCTCAGCACCACATAAAATAAATAAATAAAATAAAGGTAACGTGTCCAACTACAACTAAAAAATAAAAATTTAAAAAAGATGGAAAAGGCATTAAACTTGTGTATGTATATATAGGAAAAATGGTGCATGTATGTATGTGTATGGTTTGCTATTATCTGCAATTCCAGGCATCCACTGGGGGTCTTTGAAATGTACCTCCCACAGAAAAAGGAGGATTATTATATGTGAAAAGCCACAAAAAAGTCACTCTGCCATGGTTTTCAAATGAAGTGGACTCTGTCCTCATATTCTCATAAAAGCCAAGAGTGTGAAAGAGGAGGTTTCTGGCTTCCGGCTTCCTTGAACCTCACACCAGGGCAGGCTTTCTGATTTTTGTCTGGTATCTAACTTACTCCTGTTCCTCTTGGGTCACTGGGGTAACTCTTGGATGTGAAACAGACTTTGCAAGTAAGCTTTACCTGTTATACCAAGGATAAAGAACTTACCATCATTTCATTTCCTGTTACTTGAGCACTCTCAAAGTTCACCAATGTTATTCAATAGCCTCACTCAATAAATAAGCTTCTCCAATTCTTGAAAAGAAAAGGACTTTGTCCTTAGAGAAGGCCGTAGAGGTAGAGTAAGACCTAACTCTGACTGTCCATCGCCACCTAGTGTTACAATGTAGATATTTCAGTAGCAAATGGTGAAAGTGACTACTGAAATGTTGAAGCAACTGTAGACCAGAGGATTTAGGGGCAAAATTTTGTCTACTAGACAAAGAAGCTAAAAGGAAATTCTGAATAACATATTTTCAGGATCAGAGCATGGAGCAATAAGTGAGAGCTCAACAACAAAATCTATGACGGGAAGGGAATTATGATCCTAGGTTATATCTGGCATATTACATGGGAAGGGTAAAGTGTGTGTATGTGTGTGTGTGGGGGGGGGGGGGCTCCTCCTGGGTCAATTTCTTCCACAGCCCTGAAATGGCTCAGAGAAAACTTATAGCTTATTTTCCCTGCAGAGACCTGGAATGCTCAGTGTATGGACAGGCTCTGCCTTTCATATTTGGACCTGAATCCTAGAATTAGGTGAAAGAGGGCAATTTCCACTATTGTACTGAATTAAGTAGGAATACCTCTGATATAAATTAGCTAAAGTTCCCTCAAGGAGAAAGGCTTGGCACCTTTCAACATTTTTCTGCATTAGCTTCTCCAATAGGCACGGCATCCCAGGCCACCCCTTAGCACACAGGACACCAACTCTGCTCTTACCTGCACTGTCCTCCATGTGGCCAAGGTTGCAGACCTGACTGATGCTGTGCACCCACACCTGCATTTCTTCTTCAGTCTTGGCCACCAGGTAGAATGTACGGGAAGTAGTCTTGACAATGAATACAAAATTGTTCTGAAATTCCTTCCGAACAAAGCTGGGGCCCACATGCTTCCACACAGCACACTCGCTGAGGTCTATCACACGTATTGGCTTGCTGGAGTGCTTGTTCCGGTAGTACTCCAAGACGTCAGGATTGCCACTCATGCGTCCCCGCCGGAGCACAAACCAGCGTTTGCGCCAGGCCTGCAGAAGCAATTCAACAAGGAATTACCAGACTAACTTCTCCTACTTCTTGGACTCTGCCAAGAACATATGTTGTGACAAGGATAGTAGGAAAGAAGCAAATCAGCCATTCCAATAATGAGACACTTTGTATTAAAGGACGAGGGCCTGTCTTATGTCTGCTTTATTGTATGCTTTTGAGGAAGGGTCACTTTTGGAGAGTTTAGCAATGCAAATTCATTCCCACAGTTTGGAGAAGGAAGTAAAGAGCCTTTTTGAGTTCCCCATCTTCTTATATTTAGGAACCCCTCTCTCATTATATGCCACTGGACCAGCCTGCATGGATTGTGCTTACTGTCTGCTGTAGCCGGAATTGGGCATAGAGAAGGGTAACAGACCAACAGCAAGTCTTTCTTCAACTGGAAACTCAATTTTGCAGTTGGCAAATGCCAGGGGAGAGATTTATAGGTCTGTGGTTTTCTCTCCCATGCAGTGGCATGTGTGACAGCAGGAAGTATGGGGTTCTGCCAGAAGGCATGGTGACCAATGGGACAGGAAGTCTTTTGTATCTCTAGATTAATTTGTGCCTGACACTTTTATAAGCCCACCAGCTCTTACCAAGAGGCCCAGGAAAAAGAAAAAGACAGTTGGAGTGTTCTCAACTTCCTCCCTGCTCAGACAACGTGAGATCTGAGGTGGCAGAGAATCCAAAGAAGCAATGAAAAGTGAAAGCAAAGGTCAATTGTTACAAAAGACCCATGAGTATGCCTCAGAACAAAAATTCCTTTTGAGGTCATGGCAAGGGGCAGTGAACAGAAGGAGGTCAGCCACTCTATGTTGGGTTAGGGCAGGTAAACCCCAACTTGGTTCTGCCTTTACAGGAATATAAAGCTCTGAGAAGAGGTTTGGCCCTCAGGGGTTGGAAAAGGCAGTGTGGTTAAGTCTATGTTTTTAAGACAAAAGAAATAATAGTATGTTTGTATGCTCATGGAGATTACCTAAGAGGCAAAGAAAAATGAATGACTTAATAAACTTGTATTGCTCTGGGGTTAGAAGCACAAAAGGTGGGAAACATGGGTTTTTGACATCAACTAGGGCAAAGTGGAGTTGAAATAAGTCATGTGTGCCTGCTGAACAAAAGTATCCATGATGGGCTGAGGTACCCCAAACTTTCCAAAGGCCACTTTGGTGGGGAAATGTGAAGAGGAACTCTGTTGCATTTACCAAAAAATGGTTCCAAAAGAGGATGTTGAACTAAGCACAGAAACGAATTTCATGTTAACTGCTCTCAGTGCAAGAGGGAGAATGATAGATAAGTTTTTGTGTCATTCACTCAACAGTGAAACTATCAATAGCCTACTAATATGCAGGACACTGTGCAGATAGATACTGGGGAAGCCAAGCTGAGCAAGCCACAGGCCCTACCGCACACAGTCTTGAGCAGGGGAAGCAGGCAGATGGATAAGCAGACAATTTCAGTCAGTGAGATAAGTGCTATGATAGGGAAAACCAAGATGCTATGAGAACAAACAAAAGAGACATCTCTGTGAGATCAGTGGTCTGGGGAGGCTTCCAGGAAGAAGTGGTAGCTAAACTGAGACTGGCAGGGCAGAGAAAGGAGCTTGTGCAAAGGCATCAAGATGGAAAAGCTCTGTGTGAGTAGTTCAGCAGAGCTGGATGGCTGGTGTGTGGGCAGAAAAGAAAAAGAATAATCACACAGGAACTCAAATAGGATGTTATGCAATCTTGATGCTAAATTATGCAAAATCACCATCATGGCCTCCTTTAGGTTCTTACATCTCTACCTAAGAGCTATGATTATTGTCAAAACAGAAAAAAAAGCAACCTTGGAGCTCTTTGCTAAGGAGGTCAAAGGCCCAGGCTCTTCAATGGATAAATGACAAGAAAAAACTTCTGCATAGTAAAGGAATTAATCAACAAATTAGATGGCCACCTATGAGCTGTGAAAAATATTTGCAAACCACATGTCTGATAAGGGTTTCATATGTGAAACTGATAAAGAATTCTTAGAACTTATTAACACAAAACAAATAATACAATTAGCAAATGGATAAAAGACCTAAACAGAAATTTCTACAAAGAAAACATTTGAATGCCCAAAGGAAAAGAAATCAGCACTTTTCTAAACATATCTGCACTACGTGTTCACTCTAGCATTATACACAATAGCCAAGGTATGGAAACAACGGAAATGTACATAAACAGGTGAATGGATAAATAAAATGTGGTATGTACATGCAGTGGAGTACTATTCAGCCTTAAAAGGGAAGATCATAGTGTTTGGTACAACCTGGATGGACTTGGAGAATATTATACCAGGTGAAATAAGCCATACACAAAAAGAAAAATATTGTATGAGATCACTTATATGTGGAATCCGTTTTTAAAAAATACAGGGAGATAATGAAACAAAAGGCTTAGGAGGAAATGGGGTGATGCAGGTCAGAGGATACAAACTAGCAGATAGAATGAATAAGTCTAGAGATTTAATGTATAAAATGAGGACTCTAGTTTAAAATTTTATTGTATTAAGGATTTTTGTTAAATAAGTAAAATTTAGCTGTTCTTGTCACTAATAAAATAATGATATGAGATGATAGATATGGTAATATGCCTCACTATGGTAACAATTTTACTATCATAGCATCATGTTATAAACTTGAATATACACAATAAAATTCATTTTTAAAAAGAAAGAAAAATAACAGAACAGAGGAATAATCTATAGATTAAATGAGATTTCAAAGATATCAAATTATTAAGAATGTGTCTAGGAGATGTTCATGAGAGTAATAAAAACAAAAAATGCAAAGAAGAGATTTCTGCACAGGTCAGAACAGTAGCTTCTGGTTGGTAATTACAACAAGATTCACCCAATAATAATAATTGTTTGTCTTAGTTATTATTTGTAATATTTGTGAATTGCAATATTTGTGCTTTCTTTTATGAGTAAAAAAAAATTTAAACAACTCCTGAAAACAGGGAATATTCATAGAGTCATTTGGTAAATATTTACTGAGTGTCAACTATGTGTCAGGTACTATGCATGTAAATGAAAAGAGATGCCATGGTTTTTAGGGAGTCAGTTAGCTCATAGACTGAGGAAGGAAGTACTTGGTCTGAGCTTATGGTCCAGCATAAACTGATGGGCATGAGGATGGGTATTGAGGTGTAAATAAGAGACAAGTCTAGATCCAAGAAGTTCAGAGATGGGTCAGGAGTTATAGAGAGCAAAGGATAGAGGTAAGTAGTTTGGAACAGAAGGTGTGAGAACCTGAGGATGTGAGGGCTGCCCACTCTTCTTCTTGGCGAAACGTTAACATTTGATAAATGTAGGAGTGCTGCACTTCACCTTCTCTCCTCAGGCCCCCTCTGTTGAGAAGGTCATAAGTGACATGGCAAGCCAAGTTGGAAAAGGGTGAGGTCTACAGTTTAGAAGAGAAATGAAGATGAACCTAGGTCGAGTGCATCTAGAAAGCAGAATCACTATACAAACAAGTACCTACAACTAAAACTCAGAGAAGCAAAAGGATGGTTGGTGTTGAATTGAAAGTCTGGAAACCTGCATTTCAATTTTGAATCTCCTTTTGGTTTTCTGCATGTTTTCACAAGCAAGTTGACTTCTGAAAACCTCAGTCCTATCATCTGTAATAAATGTACATAACAACAATTTAAATGGTGTTATTGTGGTGAACCAATGAGAAATGGATGGCAGAATATTATCTATTTTAAAGTAACTTATAAAATGGCAATGTGACTTTTGGCCATAGTACCACTTACCCTTGGCTATGTCTGCCCTTCTAGAGCCCATATCCCACCATTATCAATGATGAGTTCTGAGGACTTTTCCAGCTCTGACCAGCAAAAGATCCATTTCCCATCAGCCTTTCCTGTCACAGCCACCAAGCTGACTCATTACCACCCCACTAGTATCATCTCCAACAACAAAAACCTGTAACATCCTGTACCTTGTGGAAAAGTGTTTGTGCTCATTTGTAGAATTGGATGGAGGTTAAACCAAACTCCTTTAGGAAGGTGTTTTTAGGTCATGGGTCTATTAGTTTTTATGGAATTGTTAGAGAAGTAATTGAATACTATCTCTGAGGGTAAACAGTATACATTGTTCTCCTTTTGAAACAACCCAACTTTCTAATTTCACAGTTTACAAATACGAATTTGTGTCTCAATTGAAAGGCACACATCAGAGTAAACAAAGATGCAAATGCCCATAAGGCTAAAGTGGGTCTTGTGCATGGCAAGTAGATGGAAAGTACATACTATCCAGGGAAGAAGGACTGAGATTTGAATCTAAATTTTGTCATTGGTTCCCCTCAGTATCTCAAAATATGATGTTATTGGGAAATAGAGTCTTTACCAAAGTAGAGTAAGGTCATTAGAATGAGTCTTAATAAAAATATGACTGATATTCTTATAAAAAGGGAAATTGGAACACAGGAATGCACAGAGAGAAGACATTGTGGGGCAATACACTTCTGTTGTAGAAACCACTTAATCTCTGGAACTTGGTTACAGCAGCCCTAAGAAATTAATACATTTCCCAAGTTTTACTGTATGTCTGAATTACGTAGGCGAACTTCTACTTCCAGCCATATTACTGCTCCTGGCACTGACCTTGCCTCCTACCCATAAAATAAACTAGAAACTAGCCCAAATAAATATATGAAACAATTGCTTTCAGCCATTGGAAGAGAGTCAGTTCAGGTCTGTGATCTCTATGGGAAGGGAAACAAAAGAGGTGAGCCCTATGACCACTTTGGCTTTTAGCCTGTAGGCACTTTACAGACCACAGTGATCTGGCAGAGTTGAGAAAATAGAGATTAGAATTCTGGGTGGTTGAAGTGACTAGAATTTGCAAGAAACAGGACTAAATAGGACGGAACTATGTAGATAAAGAACTACAGACATCTGAATAGGGGTTCTCTCAGGAGACTTTGGCATTGTTAGAATACTAACATGTATGTGGGTAGAATTAAATCCAA